TTGAATTCCTCTTTGAGTCATTTTTTCATTGACTCCACTCCTATATATGAAAAGTCATGGTTTTGGACCATTTTGCCCATGCATGAATATATGAGATTAGCAATTTTATAAAATCAAATATCAAATTAATCATTTCATAATTGTCTTTAAAATTTATTTCTTATGACTCCTTACTTGAAAACTTTTTAGTGATTACTCACATATCTATATTATTGAAGTTTTTGATATAGAAAACTTTAACATTAATACCTATATATGAAATGATTGCATCTTTACCTTGCACATACTTTTTATTGTCTTTATATCTAATTTGTCAAAGAGTCATATCTATGATGGAATTTAGATCATATAATCCAGATCTTAGATCATTATCTAAATAATTTAAATTTTAATAAATTCATCACATCAATCTTAATTCAGTTCACATTAAATATCATCACTTTCAAGATAATCAACTTATTGTCTAAAAATTATCAAAATTATATTTTTTTCTCTTTTTGTGTTAATCTTGTCTTAACACTAGTTTCATCATCATGATCCAATTTATTTCACTTTCCCGTCCATGTAACTTAACTCTAACTTCTCCAAAGGGTAAACATATCATTCATATCCCACTCCAAGGTATGTTTGTGTCATTCTATCTACTTTAGGTGTTGAAGAGTAGTAGGTAGAGTTGAGAGTAATTATTGTTTAGATGTTGAAGATGAAAAATGTCAAATTAAAAGTTACAAAGTTTTATGACACATGGTTGAGAGGATTAGATACAATTTAGAGAAATTAATGACATTTCACTATAGATGGACAAAAAAGTAGTTAATGATTTTTCTTGAAGTTGAGAGTATAAATGTTTTTCTTGAAATTAATGATTTTATTGAGTAATGGGAGAAATTAAAAATCTACTACATGTTGAAGCATTTTACACACATGTTAATTACACTTGGAAAAACTACTACATACTATGCAAACATATGATAGTTCGAATGTCTTCATTGAGTGTGGAGCATGTAAATACTTTTAATAAGTTTGTTGCCTAAATCAAAAATTCAGAGCCAAAAACTTCATTGTATTTCATCCTAACTAACCATAATACTTCAAAATATAATATAGGTCAACTGAACTTTAATGTAAGCATTTTCAACCATAATACTTTAAAAACATAGGTCAAGTCCACTTTAATGTTAAGTCTCGTTAGCAACACACTCAATACAGATGTCATGCTTGATGTCCATGCATGAACGGTGGGGTAGAATAAAATATCATGAAATAAAATTATTTCAAAAAATAATTATTTATGGTTTTTTTCCAAGAGTAATATAAGCTTTTGTATCAATTTCAATATTATAATTGGTCAGACAAAAAACGTTTATGTGGCAACATTTTTCACACCCAAATATCTTATGAGTCAGTTTTGAAGGATCTATTTGTCCAACAATTATCTTTGGGTATTTCATATACTCTTATAGATGTGTGACTTTAAAAGTACTTAAGTTAGTTATGGTCATAAGTCTAATAGAGTCTATTTGAAGCTTTAATGTTGATCAAATTATACTGTGATTACTAAATAATTTGAGAAGATGTTACAAGTAGACATTAACAATACGTATGTATCCAACTATTATAGTCGTTAAGCAACTATTTTTACTGTGATAAATCTAGCTTAGTAGTGACAAAGCAGGAAATAAAAATAGAGATAATTTTGAAGTCAATTCAACTCACTGTCTTTCGTCCTTGGCCATTATATACGAATTGAATTAGAGTTTAATCTTCGTGATCATTGACTTTTATAGAAACCAGGGTCAAACTACTCCGTAGTTGTGACATGGAAGCAAAATTAGATACAATGCGTCTGACCTGAAGATGAAAAAGCAACTAAAGAGACATTGACGTTTCCCAAACATAAAAGATGGATGGCATTAATTATCCCGGCTTATGCTTTACCTGCTGGGGGACGCTTCCAGACTCAGGGCCCGAATATCGTCGATCAACTGGTCCAGGTGGATGCGGGAGGAACCACCTTCGTCCACGCACTCCCGCACCATCTCCGACAGACCGACGACATTCCTCCTCATTTCGTCGGCCCTTTCCCCTTCCATCACCTCATTCACCATCCTGCCCACGGTGGCTCTGTCGCAGGTGTCCTTCATGTCCACCCCGATCCTCCACACCTCGCTGATGAACCGGCTGTTAACCATCTGATCGAAGAAGAAGGGCCAGCAGATCATCGGCACACCAGCGGAGATGGCTTCGATCGTGGAGTTCCAGCCGCTGTGCGTCAGGAAGGCCCCCACCGCCGGATGGCCCAGCACCTCCCGCTGGTCCACCCATTCCACGAGGCACCCCTTCTCCTTGGTCGCCTCCGCCAACTCCACGGGGATGTCGCCGGCACCGTCCATCTCCTCCAGCAAATCGGGACGGATAACCCAGAGGAATCTGTGGCCGCAGTTCGCCAGGCCATGCCAGAACTCTAGGAGCTGGGGCCTGCTCAGCACGGTCAGGCTGCCGAAACTGACGTAGACGACGGATTTGGGGGACTGGGCGTCGAGCCAAGGCATGCAGGTACGGTCCTCTCGCCACCAGCCGGGGGAAGAGGACGATGGAGGGCCGGCGGCGCTCCCAGTGGAACGATCCAGAGCGCAGAGGATAGTGTCGAGGGGCCCGACTGTATAGGTGACAGGGCAGGTGGACCTGATGTGAGCGAGCTCAGCGGCGTCGAGGGTCTCCCCAGTGTTGAAGATGAGACCTCTGTAGTGTGTCGTCCTCTGGGTCGCCGATGCAATAGCTTGGAGAATGGGATCACTAGACTCTTTGACTCGGCAAATACTCGGAAGGTCTCGCCGCCTCAGAAAACCCTCCATGCCAGGGACGCTTCTCACGAGCTCATCCATGTCGCATCCCACTGTGACGGAGGAAGCAAGCCCAAATGAAACACGAGTGGATTTCCCCTGGATGTGCTTAATTGTGGATGTTTCTCTTACCGGGGAAGGGGATTTCCCCTGCTTCGATGAGCCTTGGGATGCAAAAATATGTCCAGAAGCTGCAGGGGCCGCTGGTTCGGAAGACGATGACCGGTATCTCAAGCTCTTCCCCCACCTCCGCCGCAAATGGCAGTAGCCCGTCCACGATGGTGCACGTCACCGGCCACGGCTCACGGAGGGAGACCAACAGATCTCTGTATTTCTCATAGATTTGAGCCCCAAGCGACTTGACGAGCTCCGTAAATTGTCCCCCAGATCTCGGGTGGTCCGCCGGGAGGCCGTCCGGGATGGACCGGAAGGAGAAGCCCGGACGGCAGTTCAGACCCTCGTCGGCACTGAGGCGGCGGTGAACGTGCTCGGTGGTGAGGAAGGTGACGAGGAGGCCCCTGAGGGAGAGCACCTTGGCCAGCTTGAGCATGGGAGACACGTGGCCGAGCAGCGGAAGCGGCAAGAGGAGGACATGCGGCGGCGCCGCCGCCATCGTTCACCTTTCCTTCGCAGACCAGGTACTTTTTGTCTCTAGGTGATCGCGGAATTTAATCGGCAGCGCTCCCGACGGTGCATAAGAAGGCCTCATTGTATATTTCAATCAAACGCTGGAGACAGTAAATTCGGGGAAGAGATTATCGACACTACCGTCTTCAAACAGCCTAGCTACGCCAAGCCTTACAAGGCTGTCTAGCCTTAGCTGATAGAAGTGGTTCTAGACATGCCACGAGGGTAGGGACCAACGCTCTTGGGGTTTAGAGGCTGCCTCTAAAGCTATTGAAAGTGATGTAGGATATCAACTACAAATAGAATAGCGAAAAGTAGTTGCCCACATGCCCTAAAATGGCTAAAAGATGTGTACTTTGTTCCAAATATGGGATTTAAGAATCATAAGAGGATCAAATGGCAAAATTAGAGTTGACTCAAGGTAGCACGCATCATAAACTCTTTATTTTTCAAAGAGGGATTAGTTTTATTAATTTTAATCATTTAAAATTTATTTAAATCTCTTTAAATATATTTTGAGGTGACATCAAACTGAATTGCCGTTTTAGGGGTGTCATAATAGAAACTTGGCTTATTTAAAAGCCCAAAGTTATAGGTCTATTGGTAACTATTTGTACTCATTCTCTTTACTAGTGGATTTTGATGCCTCCCATGTAGATTGAAGGGAACTCCTTGATTTGTAGATTTATGATTGCTTCTTTGTGCATTCATGGGTTAAAAAATTTAATTTTGTGTATTCAAGAAAAAGTATACTCACAAAAACCTCCCTAAAAGTATACTCCGATATAACACCATGGATAATTATTTAATATTATGAATTTTTTCCGTTTTGAGATTCTATCTTGCTGCTAGTAGATTTTGGCATCTTCCTTGTGGATTAAAGGGAGCTCCTTAATCTTGTGGATTCAAGATCACTCTCTTATAATTTTAGTTTTCAAAGAGTTGAAGTTATATGCATTCATGATGATGTATATTGATAGAAATTTCATTGCTTGTAGATTAAAAAGGCAAGATTTCATGTCCATGCAACTCAGCCTATATATAATAAGGCTAGATTACAGTACATGCACTCAAGGAGAGAGAGAGACGGAGATGACTGTGGTGTCTTCTGTGGAATATTAAGATGATGCGTTATTCTATGAGTTGTTGGGAGTTTAGGGTTCTGTCTGACTTTTCTTTACTCACAAGACATTGTTTGTTGAGCTAGTTGGGTTTGGGATTCCTCGCAATATAATACATCTACGAAGTAAGTTGACCCAATGGACAAGTGGTAACTAAGTTAGAAATAAAAAAATTAGAAATGAATTTTAAAATGACTCAATTCTCAGACTTTCTTTTGTGTGCCAAATACTAATTGAACTGAGTATGATCTTTGTGATCGTTGACCTTTATGTAGACCAGCGTCAAACTCCGCTTCAGACATGCAAGCAAAAGATGATATATAATAAGAGTGACATGAAGATGAGAAGAAAAAAAAATGACATCGATTTTCCCCAAACATAGAGAATGAACAATACTAGCTGTCGCGGCTTATGCTGTCTCTGCTGGGGACGTCTCGAGACTCATGGCCCGAATATCCTCAATTAACTGGTCCAGGTGGATGCGAGAGGAACCACCTTCGTCCACGCACTCTCGCATCATCTCCGACAGCCCGGCGACGTTCCTCCTCATTTCGTCAGCCCTTTCCCCTTCCATCACCTCATTCACCATCCTGCCCACGGTGGCTCTGTCGCAGGTGTCCTTCATGTCCACCCCGATCCTCCACACCTCGCTGATGAACCGGCTGTTAACCATCTGATCGAAGAAGAAGGGCCAGCAGATCATCGGCACACCAGCGGAGATGGCTTCGATCGTGGAGTTCCAGCCGCTGTGCGTCAGGAAGGCCCCCACCGCCGGATGGCCCAGCACCTCCCGCTGGTCCACCCATTCCACGAGGCACCCCTTCTCCTTGGTCGCCTCCGCCAACTCCACGGGGATGTCGCCGGCACCGTCCATCTCCTCCAGCAAATCGGGACGGATAACCCAGAGGAATCTGTGGCCGCAGTTCGCCAGGCCATGCCAGAACTCTAGGAGCTGGGGCCTGCTCAGCACGGTCAGGCTGCCGAAACTGACGTAGACGACGGATTTGGGGGACTGGGCGTCGAGCCAAGGCATGCAGGTACGGTCCTCTCGCCACCAGCCGGGGGAAGAGGACGATGGAGGGCCGGCGGCGCTCCCAGTGGAACGATCCAGAGCGCAGAGGATAGTGTCGAGGGGCCCGACTGTATAGGTGACAGGGCAGGTGGACATGATGTGAGCGAGCTCAGCGGCGTCGAGGGTCTCCCCAGTGTTGAAGATGAGGCCTCTGTAGTGTGTCGTCCTTTGGGTCGCCGATGCAATAGCTTGGAGAATGGGATCACTAGACTCTTTGACTCGGCAAAAACTTGGAAGGTCTCGCCGCCTCAGAAAACCCTCCATGCCAGGGACGCTTCTCACGAGCTCATCCATGTCGTATCCCACTGTGACGGAGGAAGCAGGCCCAAATGAAACACGAGTGGATTTCCCCTGGATGTGCTTAATTGTGGATGTTTCTTTTACCGGGGAAGGGGATTTCCCCTGCTTCGATGAGCCTGGGGGTGCAGAGATAAGTCCAGAAGCTGCAGGGGCCGCCGGTGCGGAAGGCGATGACCGGTATCTCCAGCCTTTTCCCCACCGCAGTAAACGGCATAACCCAGTCCACGATGGCGCACGTCACCGGCCACTGGCCGTGGTGGGAGACCAACAGATCTCTGTATCTCTCGGGGGATTGTGCGGCAAGCGAGGTGATCACCTCCATAAATTGTCCCCCAGATCTCGGGTGGTCCGCCGGGAGGCCGTCCGGGATGGACCGGAAGGAGAAGCCCGGATGGCAGTTCAGACCCTCGTCGGCACCGAGACGGCGGTGAACATGCTCGGTGGTGAGGAAGGTGACGAGGAGGCCCCTGAGGGAGAGCACCTTGGCCAGCTTGAGCATGGGAGACACGTGGCCGAGCAACGGAGCCGGGAAGAGGAGCACATGCGGCGGCGCCGCCGCCATCGTTCACCTCTCCTTCCCAGACCAGGTACCTTCTGTCTCTGGGTGATCGCGGAATTTAATCGGCAGCGCTCCCGACGGTGTATAAGGAGGTCCCATGGTATATTTCAATCAAACACTGGAGGCAATAAATTCGAGAGAAAGATTATCGGCACTCCCGTCTTCATACAGAAACAGCCTAGCTACGCTCAAGCCTTACAATGCTGTCTAGCCTTAGCTGGTCGATGTGTTTCTAGACATGACAAGACGGTAGGGGACCAACGCTCCTGGGGTTTAGCGACTGCCTCTTCTAAAGCTATTGGATGGTGTATCAACTATAAATACAATCGCGAAACGTATTAGATGGTGAATGAAGTCTCAAAGACGGGTTTTAAGAATCATAAGAGCATCAAATGGCTAAATTAGCGTTGACTCAAGGTAACACGCATCATAAACTCTTTATTTTTCAAAGAGAGATTAGTGGGAGAGACGTGGCCCGGGAAGAGGAGCACAATGCAGCACCGCCACCGCCATCGTTCACGTGTGCCGCGCAGACAAGGTTCTTTCTGCCCCTCGGCGACCGCGGAATCAGATCTGTAGCGAGGCCGACTCATTGAATAGGACGAAATCATTGAATATTTCTAATAATAATAATATTAAAAAAAAGCTGGAGGAAATAAAATCGAGAGAAGGTTTTCAGCACGACCGTCAAACCTTTCATGTTCTCTCCCAGCTTTTGAGTTCCATTCGCTCTGGGGGAGAAGATCACGCTGATGTAGGGTTTTGACGCAGTGAGCTTTCTTTGGCCTTAGTGGGGTACCCTGTCATGACAGCTGTGGCGACATTTATGGTGGTCACAGGAAGGATCGCCTCGACGGATCCAATGGGGCCTGAAACAGGAGGCCGAGACGCGCTGGAAACAATGGCGACAAAGAAATCCCCGCGAAAATAAACAAACAAAGACACCGAAGGGAAGGCCACGGCCGGCAGCACCCCACAGAAGGAAGGGGATCACAGAAACGCGATGGCGTAAGAAATACTCACAGGTCTGCAGAAGAGCAGATTTAGGGCGGCCGAGCGAACAGAACAGACGCCGCCACCTCCCCGTCAGAGCGTTGGCGAAGTTCTCCTCTGCGCTGCCAACAAACGGAGAAACACGAGTGGAAACCAGAGAAATAAATGGCAACCCAGTTTCCCCGCAGGAGGGGAAAGGAGAAAGGACCCGGCGGAAGAACGACAGCAGCACCGGCCGAGACGACGTAAGAAGCGACCTAGTTACGGAGAGATCCACCAGATAAACCCCAGCTCAGCTCAGCTTAATACACAGTGTGTGTGTCTGTGTGTGTGTGTGTGTTTGTGTGTGTGAGTGTGTGAGTGTGTGTGAGAGAGAAGGGGGTTGAGAAAGCGCTGGTGGTGGTAACTGACTCGGGTGAGAAGATGGCAGTGGACGACGTCATCGTGACAGTTCACAGTTAGCGTTATTGTCTTCGTGTAGCTGCGGGCTCTTGCACGTGCTGACCTGCCCGCGATCCCGACTCGGATCTGGCCTCGATAACCGACACCCCCCGGCCTAAAAAAATCGCCGAGTCGGGCAAGAAGATCTACCACTGGTTATTACTCCCCGCCACCGACAACGGTTGGTCTACCTTCAGAGACGGCACGGCGACCGGCGGCGCCGTCGCCGCGTCCCTCACCGGCAGCGTCGGGGCTGAGACAAAAGGATTCTAATGCCTTCTGTGGTGGCTCTCGCAGGATGTGGGCGGTGATGAGCTCCCAAACCCGCCCGACCACGCCCCCTGAGACGGCCGAGAACGCCTGCTTCGCGGCCCTCCTTCGGGCTTCCAGGGCTCCGGCGTCGCCGAGCAACTGCTTCAGCGCTTCCTCGAGCTCCTCTCTCCCGGAGACCTGTTGCGGGCATAATCATACGAAATAATCTCTAATGATTGAGGAGGATGCCAGAAACCATCTATGTTTTCACCTGCCAGACTGACAATCGCTCTAATGTCGTCATTTGCCTTATCATATGAGAGAAGTGCCCGACGAAAGGCCCTGGAATCCGAGAACGGCTGATGAGCAACGATACTGGGATTATAAACATGATCTTGGGGCTCACCAGTCAGAACAGCGCAGCCCGCAGCAGCAGCCTCAGAGAGATTGTGGCCAGACAACTCGGGTAGGAATGAGCCCCCAATGACAGCTATCGGAGTAATCCTGTATAAGGTCCTCAGCTCCCCTGTGAAATTTTGACACACAGGAAACCAGACCACTGAGAGAATGTTTCCAGGTGAAATTGTTCCAAATCAGATTGGTACCCAAAAAATAAAAAATAAAAAACAGATTTAGCAGCATTAATGAGGCTGCATGATTAGAATCATTACCCAATGTGTCGACTATATAGATGACTGTACCAGATGATATTCTTTCAACGTTAGATCTCAACGCAACAGATATCTCTTGCTGCTTCAGCGCCTGCAGAAGCAAATTAGAAGAACACAGGCTATGGTTCCAAGTAAGTGGCATGTGAAGACACTTGACCTGTCCAGTTCCGCTGATGGGTAAAGAACATGAAAACGAAAAGATGGGGAAAATATTGTGGATCAACAGGGAAGAGCAAATAAAAAAGGTACAGTCATTGATAGGGCTGGAGATAGTTGCATGCAACTTTCAAGATAAATATTACAGTAAAAATATAGCAAAAATATAACTGAGATGAAGCCTCCTAAAATCAATGATAACTTATAAGGATGGGCGTTCACCAAGAATCTTCAGAAGGGTGTGCCATTTTATTCAACATCAAATCAGGATTGATGGAAAAGGCTAATGAATGACCATATAAACAAAAGGGCATCGAAAAAATAATAGTAAACGAAAAATAACCAAAATTCCGAGCTACATGATGTGACGATGTACACATTTGCATTTTCCACTAGATTGAAAACAAGTAATACTTAACATTTGCATTTACACCATCCAGCAGCCTCGCATGTAATACTTAGTCCAGGTGTTTCATGGGCAAAGATAGAATATTAAAATAACAATACTTCGGAGAGGCATTACACTACATACTCGAGCAATCTGTCGCCCATGCAGTGGATGTCTGGGCACAATAATGGTCACCAAGTTGGAGTATATCTTCACTAGTTCTCTATGAACTTGTAGAACAACTGCACGGTCAAATATAGAGGCATATCAGTTATTTATTGATAATGCACACAAAATATTACAAAATGAACTCACTGATTGAAAATGCAACCAGATAATGAACCTGATACGAAGAGATGTACATTAAATAATGAACAAGAAAAAGCATCTATTTCTTATTCGACATCTAGATAGGTGTTACAAATGCAAAAAACCAGAATCTGTAGTAACTGAGATCATTTCCAAATAAGGAGAAGAAACAGGCCCTCTGAGTACAACACATCAAAACCACCCATTATGATCTGAAGAACACTGGACTTCAGGAAAAAGTAAAAAAACTGAAACAAATTTCACACAACACAACAGATCATTGATGCAGCAGAATAAGGGATCATAAACAATTACAGTTCAGCGCTCAACCTTCTTCTTCACCATAATGTATAGATGAAGCCATCCAAACACGCCTACTGGCAACCTGTAGCTTCAGATCTTCTAATATTGTAAGCTCCTTCTGAGGCACATCAAAATCTCCCACAGCTAAATAAATAGAAAGAAAGGCATAAATACAAAGTTGATGTAGGTAAAAATTTCTTCTTCAAAGATAGCAAAAAAGCTATGGCAATACACAAAAAAGCTTCACAATCAATGTAAAAAGCTTCGTGGTACAACAGACTAAACTAGTTTATTACTAGGTATTTAATTCTTCCTGATGAATAATTTTAGACATCAAATATAAAACATACCATATTTTAAATCACCACCAAAGTTGATGATGAATGGTGGTGCTAGTAGTAGCTGAAACCGAATGGCCTCCACTGTACTCTGACATATGTAGTAAATAAATCATGGTTCAACTATTCAAAATTTTCCAAGTAACAAAACTGTTACGCACCAATGGAGCGATGAGAGAAAATTTTGATAGCATCAAGGAGATTAAGGACCATGCCAATGGCTTCGACCAGAGCTTGAAAGATTTGACAGACATTCGAGCATTTAACAATGCTAGTGGAATCTGAAGAGAAGACAAAAAATATGATATCCGAAATGAGCACAAGAAAAAAATCTCAAGACTCCAAATGAAAGATTCACTACTGACAGACTTTGATGGACATTTTCAACGCCCCTCTGAAGGGAAAAAACCATGGGTAGATGGTGCAACAAAATGTCAAAGTAAAAAGCCAATAAATTACAAGATAGGTATATATATGAAGAAATGAAGCTTAGATTTGTTGGGTCATGTTACAGATCGATTTGGATTGGGGTAGTCAATTAAGAGTAAAAAGCCAATTCAGCCAGAAAGATGCAACAACAAGACAAATAATTCACAAAGCTTAGGTGCATATAAATATGTATATATATATATGAAGACCATTAACTCAAAATAAACAAATAAAAGGTTTTAATCGAGTGTTTCCACAAAACTCTGAGCCTCAGCCCACCCTCAACTGCATTCTCGTTTCATTTCAGCAAGGAAATGAAACGAGAATTGTTTCTCATACTCTACACCATTGTTTTTACTGAGCTTTCAGTGTGTGGCAATGGGCAGGTTTGGTGGGGTCAAGGTAGAAAGGTTTCTCCTATCCTTCCATTTTATTTCTTCCTCTTTTGTTGTTGCTTCTGCCATTGATCACTGCTTTCTTCTTCGCCTTCATCTTATGACTGTGGCCGTTGTCTGCCTTTTCTTCACCATCTTTTTCTTTGACTATTCCTCTAGCTGCAACTGGGAAGGGCATGGGGCCTTTTGAAGGCCAATCGGTTGATTTGATAGTTTTTCGGCCTATCCTCTTCATTTCTCTTTCACCATGTCTTTATTTTTTGAGGTTCACCTGATATATATGTCCCTCAAATATCAGTAATTTTGTCCTCCATCAAAGGATGCTGTGCCTTATACTTTTCTCAAGTCCCTTTGTGATAGTGTTAACAGGCTTCTACTAGTCAAGAAATGTGAATAAAAGAATAACAAGAGAAAGAACCTCCCAACATAAAATGGCAAAGAATAGTTGTTTCGTCATAGTCTGAGGAAAACAAGAACTCGAAAATTTACCCACTCGTTATTATGAGCATCAATGTTGACTCAAATGCGAAGGGAAAGGTACTGTGAAGGAGAAGAAGTATTAAATGACCACTTACCCCCTTTTCAGCCGAAGAAAAAATGAGATTGGGCCAGAGCTCACTTTCTATTAAGAAAACTGCATCTGGGTTCCAATACCCAAGGAACTTGTCCACAGCAGCAGAAGTATCAAGAGGTGCAAACTGAAAATGAGAATGAATATCTACGACTTTTCAGTGTTCATACCTTTAATAGAAGCTGGTTAATTATACCATGAAATGGTACTCAAATTACGTTTAAAATCAAAATAAAGATACAATTATCCCAGTCATATTCTCCAAAGATTCATCACTATCGTTCTTGAACACCAATTAACTCCTTTTTAATGATAAGGAAAGACAATAATGGAGATTAGCCTGGAAAAAAGAAACCCATAATCCATTTACTTCTACATTATCATCATTACACAAAACAAGGATTGCTTCCCGGTTGATATCTTCAAGTATAAACTCCTGTGTTGTTCCCAATGTTGATATAGATGGATATTCACATATATTTCACTGCATTTAGATCCAATGAAAGATCTTCATTCAATAGTATGAATTAAGCCTCCCCCGCATAAGAAGAATGGAACTTTGGCGCATTAGAGATTCTGACTAGAATTTCAACACGCTCTCAGCACGATAATTGGAAAATAGACCAGCTGGTAGAAGTAACAAGAACTAGCTATTAAACGCTGGTTAGAACAGATGCCATCAAGTTCAACCACGCCACGATCATACAAAATTAAAGTTCTGAACTATCAATGGCAGAATCAAGTATTGAACAATTATATGATCATGAGTCTGAAATGTATATCGATAATAAACAATCTGAGAATAATGACACCTGATATATAACGCTACTTGGGAGCCGTTCCTTGATGACTTCACTGCAAAATGAACAAAGGGATTATGACACAATCTTCAACAGATTTCAAGGATAGCATATAATCATCATTCATCATTTTGATCCTCAAGCTCCAAGACATTATAAAAAGAATGGATTCAATTATTAATCAAACAAAAAAGTAGAATTGATTTTCAGTCCATATGATTTCCAAATTGAGAAAACATTCTAGTTGACAGAATATCCTAAGCACGGATAAATACAACGCGGATTAAAAACGGCAAGCCTAAAAGCATCATATTTACTAGAGACATTCTCCTTCTTAATTCCAAAAACACCTTACTGGTTTCCGGTTATTTTAAGGGAGGTCTGAATTATAAACCGAGTCAGCTTAAGTCATCGCTAGTTGCAATCAGCCGGCGTTCCAATAAGATACGGTTTTGAAGCTTTCTGTGTATTCGATACGCCACGGAGCACGTGTAATGGAAAATAAAATTGAATATTAAAAAAAAGGCCCGTAACGATTTCTCGAGTGCGTAAGCTTACAAATTAAAATCACAATGATAGCGCGATCCATCCAAGAAGTACATCACTTACAACGCAGAGACCGTTGAAACGGTCATCAGAACGGCGATGTCGGGGCGCTTCTGGACGCAATGCCTGATGACGGGAATTGCCGCGAGGCCTTCACCTGAGAGATAAAGAAACCGGGGGGAGAGAGAGAGTTAGGTGTCTCCAAAAGGAATCTCCAACGTTGGACGAGGAACGAATATGGATTACCTACCGAGGGAGACGGCGTGGAACCAGAGGAGGGGAGTACCCGGCGCTGGCCGGGGGGCGGAGGGCTCGCCAAGCCGTTCCCGCCACCTGACGCGGTGCTCAAGTCCCCGTAGCCTCCGCCATCGCACCAGGAGATACACCAGGGGGGACACCACGCGACTCGCCGCCCTGTACATGGCATACGCAGCCGTTCCCCTCGCCCGCCACCTCTCCGCCACCGCCATCGGCCGCTCTGAACGACCGACTTAGGTTTCGACGGCGGAAGGACGGGCAATCGCAATCCGACCGTTGAGGATCAAAATATGACGGCCAGGAGGAATTTGTATCGGGGGAGTTGGCGACCTCATATATTAGGCCGATATGCCACGTCCAGGCCCAATAACGAGAGTATAAATTACCCGATACCCCTTTAGACCTCTTCTTTGCTGCAAATCGTCGGAACATTTTGAACAGGGAAGTCCAGAACCTTCTTCTCGCCCGCCAGCTGGGATGGGATGCCGATCGTCTCCTGGTTCCCACCTCGCCGGAGCCCCTGGTCCCTACCTCCAGGGATTCCTTCGAGGTCGTCCTCATCGGCACCTCGGTTGCTCGTCCACTGACTTTGATCCCTTCCCTCTCGACATTTGTGATCCCTCCGAGCCCCCTTGATCTCCTCGTCAGGCATCCAGTGAAAGGAGACTACCGCAGCGTGGTTCTCAAAGGTGAATCGCCGGGGACCTTGAGCAGGGGGAGATCCAGGTCGAGGTGGAAGGACAAATCCTCCAGATAGGTGGCGGTAAGTTCCTGAGTTTGTTCTCACTGCTGGAGAACGCCAAAGAGGATAATCTGAGACAAGTTGTGCAGTACGGGATGATCACGGAGATCTTCCCCAAGGAGGAAGCGAAGAAATGCATACCCATCGGTCGAGGCAGGATGAAGAAATTGTCGGTTCGATGGTTATGCCTGCGTCGACCGTGGCGATGCTCGTTGAATCTTTTCTGAGTAAAGAGAGCCATTGCATTGGCAAGGATCAGATCCCTTTTCGACTGTATATTTTCGGCCGTATATGCCTGACTAATTGTCGCCCGTCCGCGTTGGGATTATCGAGGGAGAAATCAGTGAATATATGGTAATGTTGGTCCTCAATCATTAGAATCTTGAACTCTTTATCGGTGGGGAATATAATCAGATAATATGGAATGAGTAGACTTTTGAATATCATCAGAATTGTGAGTAGAGGTTGACAACTTGTTGACACAGAATGAGTAGACTTTTAAATCCAAGCAATTCTACGCGATGCGAGATCATTTTATTCATCCTCTAGATTGACTGATATCAGAGTTATTCCAGAGTTTTACACAGGATCCCGAACAGCTACCGGCTAACATCAGCCGCAGTGGCGAGCTGCCTGCAGACGTCTCCAGACTCAGGGCTCGAATATCCTGGATCAAGTGGTCCAGGTAGAAGCGGGAGGAACCACCTTCATCCACGCACTCCCGCACCATCTCCGACAGCCCGGCGACGTTCCCCCTCAAATCGTCGGCCCTTTCTCCTTCCATCGCCTCCTTCACCCTCCTACCCAGATCCTTTCTCTGTCGCAGGTGTCCTTCATGTTCACCCGATCCTCCACACCTCGCTGATGAACATGCTGTTGGCCATCTGGTCGAAGGAGAAGGTCAGCAGATCATCGGCGGCGGAGATGGCCTCGAGCGTGGAGTTCCAGCCGCTGTGCGTGAGGAAGGCCCCAACCGCCGGATGGGCCAGTACCTCCCGTGTTGGGAACGACGGCTTCGTGCCGGCCGCGTCCTCTCCTCACGCAGCGGAAGAAAGCGACTGAGAGCAGAAGATGGAAGAAGACGAGAGAGAAAAGGAACACCGGAAAGGGGAGAACAGAGATTTACGTGGTTCGGAGAAACCCTCCTATGTCCACGGTTGCATGAACAATATACTATTTCATCAGAGAGCAATCGTCTCATAAGAACATATACCGGCCGGCATAGTCACCGCCGACCACCGCCACAGGCACAGCCGACCACTGCCTAACAGCCGCCGCCACAGCTACAGCCGCAACACAGGGAAGGAGGAAGGTCTGCCGCTCCGCCGTCGGTCACTCCGTTGATCGACGCGCGAGCTCCTCTCTCCTCTCCTCTCCTCTCCTCTCCTCGTTCTGCCGTCAGGCGAGACGAGCGCGGCGCGCGGGCGGACGGATGAACGATCGAATACGAAAATCGATACCATCAACCACCTTTCGCCCCCTTTATATACACCCCTTTCGCGGATCCTGTTGTTGGATCCGCGCATCCTCTGCATCTTGGGCTTGGGTCCGCGCATCTGCTGCTGTTCTGGGCGTTGATCAGTTCTCCACATCTTCTATAACATCCCGCCGGTCCACCCATCCCACGAGGCGCCCCTTCTCCTGCGTCGTCGGCGACGAGGCGGCGGTGAACGTGCTCGGTGGTGAGGAAGGTGACGAGGAGGCTCCTGAGGGAGAGCACCTTGGCCAGCTTGAGCATGGAGAGACGTGTCCCAGCATAGGAAGCGGGAAGAGGAGAACATGCGGCGCCGCCACCGTCGCCGTCAAGGTACTCTCTGTCCCTCGGCGATCCCGGAATCTGTAGCGTGGCCAACAGGTGCATAAGATGACCTCATTATATATTTTTAATAAAATAAATTAATCAAAATGATGGAGAAAAAAAATGGGAAAAGATTTTCGACACGTGCGTCCGCCAGCCTAGCTACCTAAAGCATTGACTATTGCAAGCTGATAGAAGAGGTTTCATACACGAGGGGAGGGGACCAACGGTTTTGGTGTTTAGTGGCTGCATATAAAGCTAGTGAAAGTGGCAGATGATATCAACAACGACAAAGATAATGGCGATGTGTTTGCCGCAAGTGGCCTAAAAATGATGGGGGTATTTGACGTTTCAAAGATGGGTTTTAAGAATAGATGTTGATGATGACAAATGTCAAATTCAAAGTTACAAAGTTTGACGACACAATCACTGAGAGGATTAGATATGATTAAGAGAAATTAATGTCATTTCACTATAGATGGACAACAAAGCAGTATAAATATTTTTCTTGAAGTTAGTGATTTTATTGAGTCTTGGGAGAAATTAAAAATCTACTGCATGTTGAAGCATTTTACTCACATGTTAGTTATATTTGGAAAAACTATTATATAATATGCAAACATATGATGGGCCGAATGTCTTCATTGAGTGTAGAGCATGTAAATACCTTTAATAAGTTTGTTTCCTAAATCAAAAGTTCCGAGCCAAACACTTCATTGTATTTCATCCTAACTAACCATAATACTTTAAAAATATAGGTCAAGTCCACTTTACTATTAAGTCTAGTTAGCAACACACTCAATATAGATGTCATGCTTGATGTCCATGCATGAACAAGGGGGGTAGAATCAAATTGCATGACATAAAATATTTCAATAAAACAAATTATTTATGATTTTTCCCAAGAGTATTATAAGCTTTCATATCAATCTCAAATATTAAGATTTATCACAGAAAAACAGTTATGTGCCAACATTCTTCACACTCAAATAAATTATGAGTTAGATTTGAAGGATCTATTTGTACTATTATCAAGCAATTATCTTTGACTATTTCATATACTCTTACTGATAGAGCTGTGAATCTAAAAAATACTTAAGTCAGTTACAGTCATAATTCTAGTAGAGGCTATTTGAATCTTTAATATTGATCAAATTATACTGTGATTACTAAATAATTTGAGAAGCTGTTATTCATCGACATTAAATAATACGTATTCAACTACTATAGTCATTAAGTGTCTATTTTTACTGTTATAAATCTTTGTAGTAGTGACAAAGCAGAAAATAAAAAATTAGAGATAATTTCAAGTCAACTCAACTCACTGTCTTTCGTTCTTGGCCATTATGTACGAATTGAATTAGAGTCTAATCTTCGTGATCATTAACTTTCATAGAGACCAGGGTCAAACTACTCCGTAGTTGTAACATGGAAGCAAAATAAGATACAATGAGTCTGACCTGAAGATGAGAAAAACAACTAGAGAGACATGGACGGCATTAATTATCCCGGCTTATGCTTTACCTGCTGGGGGACGCTTCCAGACTCAGGGCCCGAATATCGTCGATCAACTGGTCCAGGTGGATGCGGGAGGAACCACCTTCCTCGACGTACTCCCGCACCATCTCCGACAGTCCAATGACGTTCTTCCTCATGGTTTCGGCCCTTTCCCCTTCCATCACCTCCTTCACCTTCCTGCCCACGGTGGCTCTGTCGCAGGTGTCCTTCACGTCCACCCCGATCCTCCACACCTTGCTGATGAACCTGCTGTTGACCATCTGGTCGAAGAAGAAGGGCCAGCAGATCATCGGCACGCCGGCGGAGACGGCCTCGAGCGTGGAGTTCCAGCCGCTGTGCGTGAGGAAGGCCCCCACCACCGGATGGCCCAGCACCTCCCGCTGGTCCACCCATCCCACGAGGCACCCGTTCTCCTTGGTCGCCTCCGCCAACTCCACGGGGATGTCGCCGGCACCGCCCATCTCCTCCAGCAAGTCGGGGGGTTGACCCAGAGGAATCTGTGGCCGCTGTTCGCCAGGCCATGCCAGAACTCTAAGAGCTGGGCCTGCTCAGCACGGTCAGGCTGCCGAAACTGACGTAGACGACGGATTTGGGGGACTGGGCGTCGAGCCACGTCATGCAGGTATGGTCCTCCCGCTACCAACTGAGGGACGAAGACGAGGGAGGGCCGGCGGCGCTCCCGATGGGACGATCTAATGCGCAGAGGATAGTGTCGAGGGGCCCGACTGTATAGGTGACAGGGCAGGTGGACCTGATGTGAGCGAGCACAGCGGCGTCGAGGGTCTCCGCGATATTGAAGATGAGTCCTCTGTAGTGGCTCATCCTCCGGGTCGTCGATGCCGCACCTTGGATAATGCACCTTGGAGAATCGGCTCACTCGAGTCTTCGACTCGGCAATAACACGGAAGGTCTCGCTGCCTCAGGAAGCTCTCCATGCCTGGGACGCTTCTCACGAGCTCGTCCATGTCGCATCCCTCTGTGAATGAGGAAGCGAGCCCAAATGAAACATGAGTGGATTTCCCCTGGATGCGCTTATTTGTGGATGTTTCTCTTACCGGGGAAGGGGATTTCCCCTGATTCGATGAGCTCGGGAATGCAGAAATCAGTCCAGAAGCCACAGGGGCCACTGGTACCGAAGGCGATGACCGGAATCCCCAGCTCTTCCCCAACCTCCGCAACAAACGGGAGAAACATGTCCTCGATGGCGTACGTCACCGGCCTCGGCTCGTGGAGGGACGCTAACAGATCTCGGTAATTCTCCCCGAGTTGTGCCTGAAGCGAGAAGAGCACCTCAAAAAATCGTCCCGCGGATCTCGGGTGGTCAGCGGGGAGGCCGTCAAGGATGGACCGGAAAAAGAAGCCCGGGCGGCCGTTCAGACCGTCGTCGCCACAGAGGCGGCGGTGAACGTGCTCTGTGGTGAGGAAGATGACGAGGAGGCCCCTGAGGGAGAGCACCTTGGCCAGTTTGAGCGTGGGTGAGACGTGGCCTACCAGTGGAAGCGGGAATAGGAGGACATGCGGCGGCGGCGCCGCCATCGTTCTCTGTGCTGCGCAGACAAGGTACTTCTTTCCCGGGGCTATCCCGGAAACTGATCTAGCGCTGTCGACAGTGCAAAAGACGACCTCATTGTATATTTTTAATAAAATAAAATAATCAAAATGATGGAGAAAAAGTAAGGCATTGACTATTGTAAGCTTTTCGACACGTACATAAGGCGTTGACTATTGTAAGCTGATAGAAAACTAGGCCCTTCATTCTAGTTCCAAAAGTGATGCTACGTCAAGCCTTTCAACGCTGACTAGTCGTGTTTAGCGACTGCCTCTAAAGATATTGAAAGTGATGTAGGATACCAACTGCCATGGTGGCAGTTGGTACCAAATGGGTAAATTAGAGTTGACTCAGGTTAACATGCATCATAAACTCTTTATTTTTCAAAGAATGATTAGTTTTCGCATTTTTATCATTTTTAATTTATTTAAATATATTTTAATATGTTTTGAGGTGACATCCGAACTGAACTGCCGTTTTTGGTGTGTTCCAATAGAAACTCGGCTTATTTAAATTAAAAGCCACAACCTACTACATAGGTGACAGGCCAGCTGGACCGGATGTGAGCCTGCACAGCGACATCGATGGACTTCCCGGTGTTGAAGATGATACCTCTGTGGTGGGTCATCCTCTGTGTCGTCGATGTCATGCCTTGGAGAACGGGAGACGTCGTCTTTTACTCGGCATTGAGTTGGAAGTTCTCGCCGCCTCTGAAACTCTCCATCTCAGTCCATCTATGGGACGCTTCCCACAACCTAGTCCATGTCGCAGCGCTCTGTGAAGGATGAAGCGAGCCCAAATGAAACACGAGTGTATTTTCCCTGGATGTTCATAATTGTGGATGTTTCTCTTACCGGGGAAGGGAATTTCCCCTGCTTCAATGAGCTTGGGATTTTGTATAAATCAGTCGAGAATCTGCAGGAGACATTGGTGCCAAAGGTAAATGACCGGTTTTCTAAGCTTTTCTCTTACTTCTGCCACAGACAGTAGAGACGAATGCATCTGCATCTATAATGGTGTACATCATCGAGCACGGTTCACAGAGGAAGACCAACATATTATGATGTTATCATTAAATTAATCTCAATGATTAATTAGAGTTTAAGTATTTAAGATTATGACATCTCTCATAAGTATAAATATAAATATAAATATGTATAGAAACTAAATCTTATTTTAATTTTATGATGAATAAAATTAGAAAAAAGTACCACAAGGTTAGTTATCTCTTGTCTATAAATAAGGGGTCATGGTAGTTGAGTCTTCGATTTACACCCAAGGAGACATCTTTTGAAGTATATCAAAAGCATACTTTTACTAGGTGAGAGTAAATTTTTCGTCTTGATACGTAAACTCAATTCCAAGAAAATGTCGTACAGTTCCTAAGTTATGAATGTTGAGGTGTTAGTGTAAATAAATTTTAATAATAGAGATGTCAACTTCATCACTTTTAGTCACAAGAATGTCATTGACGTAGACTATAAATATGATAAGGTTAACTTCTTCTTCACGAGTATGGTGGAATTCGTATTACAGGAGGCAAAGTTGAAAGTGGTAAGTAAATTATTAAACTTGTCAAACTAAGTACGTAAACACTACTTGAGCCCATAAGTGACACGTCGTAAGAGACACATCTTAGATGACTCTTCTTGAGCAACATACTTAAAAGGTTGCTCCATAAAAACCTACTCATTAAGATCATCATAGAGAAATGTGTTATAAATATCTAACTAGTGGAGAAACCATGCCTGATTGATGATGAGAGAGAGAAACACGTGGACAGAGTTGAGGCGGATGACGGAAGATAACATCTTATTGTAGTCAATCTCATATGTCTACGTGAAGCCCTAAGCGACTAGGTGAGCTTTGTGACAAGTGATGGAGCCATCCGAATGATACTTGAAGGTAAACACTCACTTGTATGTCACAATGTTGGCATTGATCCGATGTGAAATTAAATGTCAAGTCCCCTTAACAACTAACATAGTGATCGTATCAGTGAACAATACCATCACAATAATAATCAGTAGCTATGATGGGGTCAAACACATCATAGAATAACTTACTGAAACAAGGTTGTTACATTTGTGCATAACCACATTGAGCAAGAGATTATTTATCCTAAGCGAACAAGGCTACCCTTAGAACCAATGTAGGCTATATTGGTAGGTGACATCCCCACCCTCAACCCCCTTCAATTGCTCAATGCCTTAGCATCAAAGACATAATAATTTAAGCCAACATAGATTGATGTACCTAGAAGCCACCATCAACAACTAACCTAGTACTTCCATAATTGACAATGGGGTGACTCACAATTGTCTCTTAGAGAAAAAGGTCAATTAGTTGACCCTAAAATTATCACGAGAAGATAGTCACATCAAGGTCATCAGCTTGACGGCACGTACCCTAATCAAAGATACGTAGGGAGCCCGACTACGACTAGGAATATGAGAACGTCAAGTGGACTTCATGGTCCTCCCTGTGGATGACTTTAGCATCATCTTATGGGATGAATTTTCTTACTAAGGCCCAAGTAGAAATCTCTTGTAGTAGCAGGAGTCTTACTAGTAGGGGGACCGGCGCCTTGTTTCGTGTAAACGTCGAAGATAGCACGACAAGGGTTGTAATTGCTCTCATCATTGCAATTACGAGATGGCTTGAGAAAAAGAGATGAGACTTTCCTCATGACATTGAAGGAGATGGAGGAGTCAACAAAAATAGGGACAAGTGGGACTCAAGCCATTTTGCATCCACGGCCTAGAACAATGTGTGTGGCCCTTATTATTAGAAAACTGAAGGAGTTGTCATAAAGTGTAGCCTGTATGCTGGAAGAATTCCAAGATGTGATGTCATAGCTCCCTCCAATTCAATTCCCACCATAGAAGGAGGCAGATCATGAGATCAAGCTTCTACTACAACCTTGACTATCAATATACACCCCCTACAAGAAGGATCCAGTACATCTTTAGAGCTACATCAATAGTTGGGAGAGCTATTGAAGGCCATATACATCTACCCTTCCAAAGCTTCCTTTGGTGCCCTTGTCCTCTTCTAGAATAAACAAGATGGATCTCTATGACTATGTGTAGATAAGTACCTAGTGTGATGTGACTTAATTATTATGTAATAAATCATATAAATTTAAATTTTATAAAATAAAAAAAACTATTTTTTGAATATTTAAAAGTATTTATTAACAAATATATTAATTATAATTTGATGAAAAGCTTCAAAAATAGTGAGATCTTTTTAGGTCATCATAGGGACGTAAGATAATATAATGTAAAGTTTCATAATTATTTTCAAAAATATATTTTTATGACTTTTTAACTAACAAATCATAAGAAAATATATTTAAAACTAAAAAAAGAAACTTCAAGTGCTGATATCAATGTTTGAAGAACAAATATTCATATAATAATTTATGAATGATCATAATGAGTAATTATTTGAAGAGAGTTCCACCAAACAATGATTAATCTTTAATTTAATGATACTTTTTTTAGATTTAAGTTTTGAAATACTTCTTTAGCTCATTATGATCATTTGAAGTTTCAATTCAAACAACATTGTAAAGAGTCTACAACTAGTCTCTTGATGGATTGCTCTATTTTCAATGATGTCACATTCGTTGACCAATCAAAGATGATTTCCTCTATAATTTTTTGATTTATTTCTCTAAAATACTTTTTTAGTTACTAACAATGATATGAGATTATCATTGATGATGATTCTATTGACGATCAAGCATCTTTGGCAGCTCATTCATTGACCAGCTCCCCACAAGAAAGTAGTAGACTTAAAATATAATAAAATAAATATAATTTTTGGCTTTGGTGTGCTTTGAACCTACGTCATTCATCAATCTATCTAAGTGAGACAAAATAATATACTATTATATCCTTGAAGTAGTAAACACATAATTTTGTTACCTTCTCTTAATGTAGTGGTATTTTTAGTATTATTCAACTGACATGTCCTAACAATTTAGTCCCACGTCAATTGTTTGAGGTTTTGAGATCAATAAAATTGTGAGTTTTATTCTACTTTCAAGTTCCCTCTCCCACAAATAAAATGGTCAACACTATTTGAGGAGAGGGCCCCATGAACTAAGGTGGCCTAGCCCCACATACACGTGTGATGAGATCATACATTGCACAATGCTTGGTTGGCCTCTAGTGACATGGAAGAGGAGTGATGCACCCAATCGCATGTGGCGCCTTCCATGTCAGCTGCCAAGTACCAGCTAGTTAGCATGTCCCCCCCCCCCCCCTTTTATAATTTATTTATTTATTTTAACACAAAAATATAAATATAAAAATCAAATAAATTCACATAATTAATTAAAAATTCATATTAGTCATATAAAAAATCTCTATTTAAAATAAATAAGTATATGGGGCTAGACCATATTACTTATGATAATAAATACTTATTAGTGTCCAATGTGTAGGAACTATTTGATTGCTTGTAAGGAGCTTGGTACTTCTCATAAATAGACTTGAAAAGTGACTACCATCAGGTTCCCATTAGAGAAGGAGATGAGTAGAAAATGTCATGCATGACTCGATGTGGATCGTATGAGTTCACAAAGATGTCTTTCGGCCTCACAAACACATCAACAACATTCTGCCCCTAATGAATGTCATCTTCAAATAGTACATCAATAGGTATGTCATCTTGTACTTAGATGACATCTTCGTGTATAGTGCAACTTGGATAAATACACTGAGCACCTCGGCATTATATCTAAATTGTGGGTGCACAAGCTTTACTTGAAGCAAGATAAGTACAGACTTGCAATCAAGGAGATTGATTTCGTGGGCCACATCGTCATGAAGGATGGTGTGTGAATGGACCAGAAGAAGATCTACGCCATTGATGAGTGGCCGACACCTGCCCAAGTTCTAAAGCTTTGCCTTCCTCGAATTGAAGAACTGTCACCAGATGTTAGTTCAAGGATATTCTCATCAAACATCATCATTGACGGAGCTCCTGAGGAAAGACATGGGTTGGCATTGGCCAACATAATGCCATTACATCTTTGACATGCTCAAGCAAGTAGTGATGAACGAGCCAGTGCTATGGCTAACCCAACTTTAATATTTGAGGGGCATATATCAATGTATCGGACCTAACAATCGGTGGAGTGCTGATGCAAGATGGGCATCTAATTGCATTTAAAGTTAGAAGCTCAATGACACGGAGTGACGGTATTCCATGCATGAGAAGGAGATGACAATAGTGATCTCCTATCTGCAGGTGTGATCCCATTATCTCCTCAGCAAACTGTACATCATATACGCGAATAATGTGGCGACAAGCTGCTTCCAAATACAGCACAAGCTCATGTCAAAATAGGTTAGGTGGAGCACCACTTCGAGCTGCAGTACAAATTAGGGCCTGCCAACATGGTTGCGGACGTCTTCAACTGCAAGGAGTCTGAGGCTATTATAGTAACTCTCTCTGCAGAGACGAGCACCATCCTAGAGGAGATCTATGTCACATTACAAAGTGGCAAGGAGGTGATGCGAGTGATGCAGCAAACATCTGTAGGAGAGACCCACCATTTCTAGATGGAGCACAGGATCCTCTTCACATGCATGCGGCCATACATGCCGCCGGTAGGCAGATTACAATGGCAGTTGTTGGAGGTGCATGATGCCCCCTACTCCAGTCATTCTGGGAAAAAGTGCACAATGGCTGCTACCCATCAGCTTCTAGTAGCCTGACATGGACCAAGATGTCAAAGCCTATGTTTGATCCTGCTTGGTGTGCCAATAAGATAAGATAGACTGCACCAAGGTGGTGAGCATACTAGAGCCATTGTAATTCTGAGTTGACTATGAGAATCTATCTCCATAAATTTTGTCATCATACTGTCCAAGATTAAAGAAAATGAGGTGATCTTCATCATCATTGATCATTTATCTAATTATACAATGTTAGTGCCAACACAAACAGACAGTTCAATAGAGGAGGTGGCCAAGCTCTTTATAAGTTAAGTGGTGAAGCTTTGGGGCTTACCACGAGACATTATGAGCGATTGAGACGAGGTTCACTAGCAAATTCTAGACAGTCCTTTTCAGACATATGGGCACACAGCTGAAGTTCTCTACAAATTTTCATCCGTAGACAGACATATAGATGGAGCAAATCAATAAATTATCGGAGGAGTACCTTCATCACTATTTAACAGTAAATCAAGACAATTAGGTTGAGTTGTTGGATGTCATCCAGTTCTCCTACAACATCAACCAAAGCTAAGAGAAAAGGCAGTCCCCATTTGAGCTCACGATGTGACAGTAGTCGCTGACCCCATCAGAGTTGGTGAAGCAGGCCGGCCCCACACGCTGCCTAGAACGCTCAGGTTTGCTATATCTCGTCAAGAGTGTGCAGAGAGGCACGCGAAGCATTGGCATGTGCGGCGCATCGGATGAAGAAGCATGCGGACTGCCATCGTAGAGATGTAGAATTCAGCATCGACAATCGTTTATGCTCCAGTTGACGACATGATTGTACAAGAGAATTAAGCACATCAAGTGACATGGTGGACTGGTGCCATGATACAATGGCTCGTTTGAGGTTGTAGCGCAGGTAAGAGAACTTGGCTACAAAGTCAACCTGCCGAGAAAGTTCGCCATCCTCTCGGTCTTCCATGTCTCCCTTCTAAAGAAAGAAGTACGTGACCAACAAGGACGACTCGGAGCTCAACCGGCCACATGAGCACCACCCATAGTGCGTGCCCAGTACTATGAAAAGGCTGAAGCTATCTTGGACTGGTAAGAAGACAATGAGGAGGGAAGTTCAAGTCTCAATACTACATCTATTTCCTAGTAAAGTGGCAGGACAAACCCTTTGAGGATGTGACATGGGAGCGCGACACTGACATGTAGCAGTTCAAAGACTTGATCAATCGATATCTCGACAAGCGCCCTCTGACGACGAGGATGTCGAATTCGTCATGTGGGGAAAGATGTGATGCTCGCAAAACCTCCCAACTGATTTGAGGCCGGAAGGCCATGTGAGATGCACAAAAACATAGGCAGACGGGTGTCTTGCACTTGCAGCGGGCGCGTGGGCCACGGAGAAATGCATGAGAAAATAGGGGAAACTCGAACAGAGCAAGTTTACCAAATTTGGAGCGGCTCCTCCGGATCTGCGAGAGATCCAGGAATGACAAAGGGAGGCATATGTACGAGGAAGGGTGCAGAATGGGGAAGGTCAAAATGGAGAAGGTTCTCTGGACCTCTCCCTCTATAAATAGGGGGGAACTCCTCTCGCCGGAAGACAGACCAGAAGGAGAGGAAGAAGGCGAGAGAGAGCTGCAGAGCAAGAGAGCATGTGGGTCTCATTTGTAGGAAAGGGGAAGCTCCAAAGCGAGCGTGGGGAGTGCTCGGAGGGAGCTGAGGTGGCTGCAGTGCGGCGGCAGCAAGCAAAGAGTGGTTGAGAGCTAAGTGAGAGCTAAAAGCTAGGAAAGGAGAAGAGCCCATCACAATCACTCTTCTCCTCCCCCTCTATATTTCCTTCTTGAAGTAATACAAGTACCTTGGTGTTGCATTATCGGAGTAGGGTCTTGGAGAGTTCCGCATGTGACGTGGAGGCTGCACAACATTGACGGAGCAATGGTTGAAGTTTATTATCTCGAATAGTTCAACTGAGAACTGGATTATCCACCCGTGATGGAAGGCCACACCCAGCAGCACCCCACAAAAGGAAGAAAATCACATAGACACGATGGTAAAAGAAATAGCCAGAGCTCAGCAGAAGAGCTGAAACCGAATAGCCTCCACTATACTCTAACATAGGCAGTAAATAAATCACGGTTCAACTATTAAAGATATGCCTACTATAGCTCCGTCACTTACAATACTCTACTTACCATTAATTATCGACCTTCTGAACCCATTGCGTCCTTCCTTTGTCGTAGATACAAAGCCATTTTCCAAGTAACAAAAATGTTACGCACCAATGGAGAAATAAGAGATAATTTTGATAACATCAAGGAGATTAAGGACCATGCTAATGGCTTCAACTAGAGCTGGAAAGATTTGACAAACATTCGAACATTTAAAAATCCTAGTGGAATCTGAAGAGAAGACAAAAGATATGATATCCAAAATGAGTACAAGAAAAAGAATCTCAAGGGTCTACAGATGAAAAGATTCACTAGAGACTTTGACGGACATCTTCAATGCCCTCCTGAAGGGAACAAATCATGGATAGATGGTACCACAAAATGTCCAAATAAAATCCACTTAATGACAAGATAGGTAGATATATGAAGAAATGAAGTACATATTTGTTGGGTCATGTCGCAGTTCAATTTGGATTGGGGTAGTCAATTAAGAGGAAAAAGCCAATTCAGCCAGAAAGATGCAACAGTAATAAAAATAATTCACAAAATTTTGGTGCACGTATATATACACGTGTGAAGACCATTATCTTAAAAGAAACCAGTAAAAGTTTTTATTCGTGTTTCCACAAAACTTTGACGCTCAAATGCATTCTCGTTCTCCCTCAAATGCATTCTCGTTCCATTTCAGCAAGGAAACAGAGGTAAAAAATCTCTCTTATTCTACATCATTATTTTACTGAGCTTTCAGTGTGTCGCAATGGGCAGGGTTGGTGGGGTCAAGGTAGAGAGGTTTCTCCTATCCATCCATGTTATTTTCTTCCTCATTTGTTCTTGCCTCTGTTTTTGCTCACTGATTTCCTCTTCGCCTTCATCTCATGACTCCGGCCTTAGTCTACCTATTCATTATCTTTTTCTTTGACTATTCCCCTCACTGCAACTGGAAAGGGCAGGGGGCCTTTTGAAACCCAATCAGTTGATTTGATGGTCTTTCGGCCTATCATCTCCATTTTACTTTCACCATGTCTTTATTTTATTAGGTTCACCTGATGCCCATGTCCCTAAAACATTAGTAATTTTGTCCTCCATCGAAGGATCCTATGGCTTATACTTTCTTCAAGTCCCTATGTGATAAAATTAACGGGCTTCAACTAGTCAAGGGATGCGAATAAAATAGAATCGCAAAGAATAGTTGTTTCTTCATAGTCCGAGGAAAACTGCATCCGAGTTCCAAGACCCCAGAAACTTGTCCACAGCAGCAGAAGTATCAAGAGGTAAAAACTGAAAATGAGAGTGAATACCCACGACTTTTCAGCGTCCATAACTTTAACATATGCGTAATAGGAGCTGGTTAATTATACCATGAAATCATAGTAAAATTACGTCTCAATTTCA